ATTATTTACCTAGTTTTTTTTGTTGTTTATTGTCTGCTGCTTTTGATAGTTGTGGCTGCAGACAATGATCAAATAAAATTGGTAATCATGGTTTAGGATTGATGAATTACCAGTCCAGCTCAGTTGGTAGAGTACAAGGCTCTTAACCTTGTGATCGTGGGATCTAGTCCCACGGTGGGCAATTCATAATTCTGACTGCTAGAGATCTTCCACGGAAGCTGCTCTCAAGCTGGCATTGGGTCAATCTACTACCCTACCTCCCCCTTACCCCATTACATATGGGAATAGGGTCATATAATTTTTATGGTTTAGGGTTGATCTGGTCATGGATAATAGTTGTAGCTCGTGGTTTGTGGTGTTTGGGGACGTGGATGAAGTGATAGTGATGAATGATACGATAATTGTCAATTAATCTGATAAAGTTTTGTTTGCTTAGAAAGACTAACATACCATATTAATATGAATTACAGTCGATGATAAAAACCATAATAGAAGTAAATTAATTAAAATTCCAATGACTATCCTATAGAATTTGATAATCGAAATACAGCAGTAATGAGTCAAACCCCATTCTTCTGTTAATGATAAGTACATACCTTGTAAAATTGTCATCTTTGATTTGCAATAGTAACAAGGGTCTATCGGACACCACATGTAGTTCTGATTTACATAAACAATTTAACCGGAACTACGTGAACTCTTGAGGAAGGAAGCACTCTTGGTTATCTCCCTCAATGGCTTGTCGGTGTACCTCACCATGTTATAAACCCAGGCACCCGACACCGCCCCGAGTGTCGGTGCCGTGAGATATATCCATATCCCTTTGTAGTGATTCGACACAACCGCAGGTCCCAAGCTCCTCGCGGGGTTCATCGATGCTCCTGTAATCGGCCTGCCGAAAACAGTATCTTAAAACAAATAAGAGTCGTAGGAATAGCCAAGTGGGTTAAGGAAAGAGTTTAGTACCCTGCAAACATCACATTGAGCAGCACAGTGGCGCCAACGGCAAGTCCAGCAAGTTCTCCAATCTGTGCATAAATAAATGGCAAGTTCTTCAGTATAGATCAGATTTGTAAAACTAATTCGAATCTCATCGTCTTCGACTTTTCTTTTGTCTCTAGGGTGGTCGTTTTCGTACGGAAAAAATAAATAAATATTGATGGAAATTGAAGGCATATGGGGTTGGCTACTTGATTCACCAAACCTATTGCCTCACACTCATCATACTCCTGCAAGATGTCATCGGAAAATTGACATATTTAAAGTGTGTCGATTATTCGAGGACATCCAAGGAGAACAATAAAAGGGAACTTACGGCTCTATTGTCAGTTGCAACTCCGGAGATAATGAACATGAGATAGAAAGTGATGATGAACTCGACCACGAACGCCTGCAGATCAGACCCTTGCGGCGATGTTCCGGCGAACACATCGTGTGGTCCACTAAACAACAACCGAAGAGTACCAGCAGCCAAAGTTGATCCGATAACTTGAGCCGATATATAAGCCGGCACCTAAACAAAAGGGAAATCAAAATTAACCACTGGAAATCTCCGAGCAAAACAGAGCATTGAAACACAAATTGCGTCATCAAAATTTCACCCGTCTGGCAGGGAATCGTCTGCAAGTAGCAAAAGCAATGGTGACGGCAGGGTTGAAATGAGCACCGGAGATGTGACCGACCGAGTAAACCAAGACCATCACGGCCAATCCCCACACTATCGAAATCCCCGGATGTGAAACCACTTTCTCGTTGTTTACATTCACCACAACCGATGCACAGCCGGCAAATATCAAGAAATATGTGCCCAACAACTCGGCCATCAGCTGCAAATCGTAAAATAGAAGAAACCCATTGTCATCATCATACAAACAATACTATATAAATTATATGAAAAGATGGATAGATTGATAGATAAATCGATGGATAGATAGATAGATAGTTAGATACCTTCTGTATGAAAGATACCGATAAACCGATATCGGAGTCTTTTCTTTTGGGAGCCGACGGAGGAGGAAGATGGTTATTGATTTCACCATTTACATTCAAAACAACATCATGGTTTCCATTTGTACCAGATATCTCAGCCATGGCAAGATAAATTAGCAAAACCAAAGGGGGGGGGGACAAGCGTTCTGCAATAACCTATCAAAGCCAGGCAATTTAAGGGTTAGCTAAAGAAGAAGAAAATTGATTTTGCTGATATAAAAAAAGAGAGATTTGGCTATGAACATATTCATTCCATGCTGGATATATATGTATATGATTGTATGGACTTTGGAGATAACGTTGAAAAACGACTTTATGAACATAGAGAGAGGACAAGCATTGAAGGCTGGTTGAATTCATGTTCTAAGTTCAACCACCCACCGGTTATACAGAAAGTCATGAATGCCAACCGCTAGATGAGTTATGTTTCAATTTTGTTGTTGTTGTTTGATCCTCTTTTGGGGAAAAGTTTAATGTATTAAAGGTACCAGCACGCCATTTATGTCCAAATAATAGGCTTATTTGATGTTTATCCATAGAGGATAATGATCTTAAGTCCCATAATCGTTAATTTTTTTTACGTGGGATAATAACATAATTTGATATAATAATATTTTTTATTTTTAAAATTAATATATTTGACCAATTTAATCTTAATTTGAAATGCTTCAAAAAATTTATTTTTTTCATTTTTAAAAATTAATTCAATTTAATTCAATTTAAAAATTTAATTACGTCTAATCTTTAAAGGTGCTGTTTGTGAGTATGACTCGCTTATTATATGCAATCGGTTCCGTCTAATCTTTGTAATATTCTCTGCAGATATATTCATGATCTTTCATTTTTTACGTATTAGAGACTGATTCTTTAGCTGAACTTTTCTTCTTCATTAAAAAGATATCATTTAATCGAATGATGTTGTTACATTCGACGAGCATAGATGAGCATCATTAAATTAGTTTATAAAACGTTAAATTATAATGTATTAAACGTATAATTATAAATTAGTTAAAAATATAAATGTAATTTAATTAAAAATATAATATTTATAAAAGATTAGTTTTTAGGGTAAATTATATCATTTCCCACCTAAATATTTACTCCATTTACTTTAACCATCGATTTTTAATTTTGTCAAACATATCACTTAACTATTTAAATCTTGTCAATCAAGTCACCTGTCGTTAAATATTAACGGAGGACATGACGTGGCAATTAATAAATTTGTATAATTATACATTTAGTCCTTATTACTTACACATTCTATTAATTTGGTCGTAACTTGTATTTAATTAAATAAATTTAATCATTAATTTGATTGTGACATGTGTCACTGTGTGATTGGATGCTTTTTAATATTTTTTTACTTAATAAATTTTTCATCCAATCAAATGGTGTCACGTATCACCAATTGAATGAATGAAAAATAAATTAAATCAATGACCGCTGCTGGTGGGATTTGAACCTGGGACGTAAGCCAAAAAATTAAACGCCCTACCACTAAGTTAAACCACTAAATTTGTCTAATATATAGAACTTATTATATAAAATTTATAATATAGTCAATGGTAACAAATGACCTTATAAGGACTCAAACATGAAATAATTGAATAGTATAAAAATTAAAATAAAAGTAAATTTAATATGTTATAATTAAAATGTATCATTTTACATATTTTAAATTAATAAATTATCTTCATTATTCTAATTTTATTAAACTGAAATATATCATATCTTATATTTTCAAATATTATAGCGTTAATCGGATTCTAATCTTATTTAACAACTCTATATTAAAATATACTAATTTTATAAAATCAAGTTACCCCTAAAATTTTCTTCAAATATATAATTAATAAAAATAAAATATAAAATTCTTACTCTAACCGAGATATAAGCAAGTCAACGCATAAGTTAAAATGCTTACTACGATAAGCCCTCAACTATCAGGAAAATTCTAAGTCAACGAAATTTTTCGTTATATTTCAATTATAATATATTAAAATTATATTTATTTTTTATTTTTACTTTTTTATTAAAATTATTTAAAATATAAATAAAATACATTCACATATTAATCAGTTATAATATTTGTGTATATATATCATATTATCGTATTATTCAATTATTTCACGTTGGAGTTCTTATTTTCTATTTATTCAATTAATGACACGTGTCACTATCTGATTGAATGAAAAAATTATTAAATTAAATAAAAATATTAAGAAAAAATCCAATAACACAGTGACATATGTCATCATCTAATTGAGGATTAAATTTATTAAATTAATTATAAGTTAGGACAAAATTAATAGAATGCGTAAATAATGAGGATTAAATGTGTAGTTATAGAAATTTTATTAACTGTCACGTCATCTCCTCCGTTAATATTTAACGATAGGTGGCTTGATTGACAATATTTAAATAGTTAGGTGAATCGATTGACAAAATTAAAAAACCAATCGTTAAAGTAAAAGGGGTAAATAGTTAGGTGCTAGATGATATAGTTTACCCTAAAAATTAATGTTCTATAAATATTATATTATATTTTAATTAAATTAAATTAAATTTAGATTTTTAACTACTTTATAATTATACGTTTAGTACTTTATACTTTAACGTTTTATAAATTAATTTAATGATGTTAATCATTAATTGTGTTTATCCACGCTCGACGAACATTGTAGGAATTTTTTTAATCTAAAATACCAATTCATGAAACTCTTTCAATATAATATAAAACAAATATATAAATTATATGGATAAATAAAAACAGTTTGTTTTCTAAATTTGGATTCCACAAAACAGTTTCCCGTTATAGTTCGTTAACACCGAAGCAAATTTTAAAACATCTCCATGATATTATCTTTTTCTCCCTTTTATTGGCTCTTCAATTTTTTTCTCAAGAAAACAAATGAGTACTAATTTTCTCAGTAACCAAACATGATTTCCGATAAGCAAAGAAAGGCCATCCAGCGCCAGCAACTCCACCATCGTTTCCACGTACGAAGATGTTTCTCCGACAAAAAAAAATAAACTCCATCACCATCGCTGCATCGATAAACAAGTCTATCGTCAAGTGTGGCCATCGACTCACCCGAGTTTTCTCCGAGTTTGCCCGCCTGGTAACCCCATCGTGTCACATTAAAGGGTTCGAGGTCATCGGAGAGAAAACGATTACAACCCGCTTTGACGATGTCGATGTCGATGTTAAACCCGCTCCTAAGCTTGAATGGGAAACATGTAGCTTCAATATCTTGCCTAGGTCACCAGTTCTCTTCTTGCAAAGGAATTTGCTACCACCATTGGGGTCGGATATAAAAGGGACCATCGTGCTTGACTTGGACGAGACACCGGTGCATTCAAGCCTCGGCCCACCGCGGCCGAGGTACGATTTCACTGTTTCGAGGGTTGTGGACGGGGTTACGATATATTTCTACGTATTTATACGGCCCGGGGTCGACGAATTCTTGGAGATCATCAGCAAAAAATACGAGCTTGTCGTGTTCACGTCAGGGCACAAAGCGTATGCTTCCAAGGTGCTCGACGTACTCGACCCTAACGGGTACATATCGCATAGGTTTTATAGGGACTCATGCAAAAAAGTGCGCGGAAAATTCATAAAGGACTTGCCAGTGTTCGGAAGAGACTTGAGGAAGGTCGCGATCGTAGACGACAACCCGAAAACGGGATTCCGATCAAGCCGTTTTATGGTGACGAGCTCTGGGATCGGGAGTTGATGAAGTTGGCTGAATTTTTCGTGAGATGTGATGTTTTTTCAGATATAAGGGTATGGTAATAATCTTGTTTTAATCTTTTAATATTGAATTAAATTATACTACTTTATAACTGTAAATTAATATATAATATTAAAAGAAATAGAACCGAATTGCATGGAATCGCTACCGTCGTTCATCACTCGATGAGACGATCTTCGTCTTTGTCCATCCACTGATCCACAATCCCATCATAGCATCATACAATCTTGTCCAAGTTGGCTGGCCCTGGATAGGGATGTTTAAAAAACCCGAACCCGATCGAATTGCATGGAATCGCTACCGTCGTTCATCACTCGATGAGACGATCTTCGTCTTTGTCCATCCACTGATCCACAATCCCATCATAGCATCATACAATCTTGTCCAAGTTGGCTGGCCCTGGATAGGGATGTTTAAAAAACCCGAACCCGATAGGCAAAATTGAAAATTGAATTAAACAGGGCAGAGAAAAATCGTTTATACTAAACGGAGATGGGGACGAGAAAAACCGTTTATGCTAAACGGGGACAGGGACGGGAATGGGTTTGGTAATCTTCACCCTGATACCCGGCCCGATATCCGTCTCGATAAATATTAAAAATAATAATTATATATATATAATATTAATAAATTTAAATTAAATTAAAAAAATATATAATATTTATATATTTAATTTAAATATATATATATACCCGGCCCGATAAATATTAAAAATAATTATTATATATATAATATTAATAAATTTAAATTAAATTAAAAATATATATATAATATTTATATATTTAATTTAAGGGTAAAGTATAGTAATGGTCACTGAACATTTCTGAAGCTTGCATTTAGGTCCCCCAACTTTTAAAACTTGCAATACAGTCCCCCAACATTTATTCCGTTTGCAATATGGTTCCCAACTTAAACCATCGTTAGAAATTAGGGTAAATTATATAAAAGGTTATTGAACTTTTCAGACACTTGAATTTAGGTCCCCCAACTTTTAAAACTTGCAAAACAGTCCTCAATTTCATTCTAAACCCCAATTTCCAAAGTAATTCAATTTCATTCTAAACCCTAAATTCCAAAATAATTCAATTAAATTCAATTATGTCAGATTTATTATTATTTAATTTCATCTTATTTCATGTGATATGTATTTTTTATATAAATATAATAGTATAATTCTTATCTGTTGAAGAAATTTTTTAATTAAAAAAGTAGTTAGGATATAGAAGAGGTTTAAAATAATTCGAATTTTAAATTTATAAAATGTTATTTTGACGTATAAATAAAAGTGTAAACTACTAGGTTGACAACTTAACTATCTAGCCCTTTTTACTTTTGTCATCGATCTTTTAAATTTATCAATCATACAACATAATTATTTAACTGTTTCAACTAAGCCACTAGTCGTTACCAATTGATACAAATGATGAAGTGGCAGTTAAAAGGAATTGACTTTATTATACATTCAGTCTTTATTATTTATATAATCAATTTGGTCCTAAATTAAATAGAATTTAATAAATTAATCATTTAATTAGGATCTGACATGTGTTAGCACATGATCATGACGCGTGTCATTGGTGACACATGTCACCACCTAATTATTTATATATGCTATCAATTTGGTCCTAAATTAAATAAAATTTAATAAATTAATCATTTAACCAGGATCTGACATGTGTTAACACATGATCATGATATATGTTATTGGTGACACATGTCACCACCTAATTAGAAGAAAATTAAGTTACAAAGAAGTAAAATTTGGGTCTTGGGCAAACTCAAACCTGAGTCACGCAAATGAAAGATACAGGGTGGAGCCACTAAGCTAACACCATCGTTTGTGTTAAGAGATATACAATAATACATATACTAATAGTATGACCAATGCCAGAAAAAAAAGAATATAATGGAAAATGGAAATAATGAGATTTGAACTTCGGCAAAAAATTTGAAAGCAATAAATGATGGAAAATATTATATTTTTTTACAATAAAAATATTATATTTGATAAATTGTTTGATAGATTTAATATATTTTTTAAATATTAGTTGATACAATATTTTAAAAGAATAAATTTAAGATTTATATATTTTTAAACTAAATTTAATAATTATATTTTTAATATTTATAATTCATGATTATATATATAATCTTAAGTTGAGTATTTCTAATATAATTAATAATTTTAATTTCTTATTAAAAATAAAATATTCAAAAAATATAAATGATTCATACATTAATATATGAATATATTTTTTTATACATCTAAATATAAATATACATTTATATAAATATATTTGTATTCGTATATTGAAATATTTTGATTAAAATATAAACATATTTTAAATACTAGTTTATACAAGAAAAATAAAATATATCAAAAATATAAATGATTCATACATTTAAATATAAATTGAATCATTTATATTTTCTATACATCTATATTTAATAAGAAAATAAAATTATTGGGGGACTGTTTTGCAAGTTTTAAAAGTTGGGGACCTAAATTCAAGTGCCTGAAAAGTTCAATGACCGTTTATATAATTTACCCTAATTTTCTAACTGTGATTTAAGTTGGGGGACCATATTGCAAACGGAATAAATGTTGGGGGACTGTATTGCAAGTTTTAAAAGTTGAGGGAACTAAATGCAAGCTTCAGAAATGTTCAGTGACCATTACTATACTTTACCCTTAATTTAAATATATATATATACTCGGCTCGATACTCGTTTAAATAACCGTTTATGCTAAACAGGGATATCCGTTTTCCCGCGATTTTCCCTGATTACCCGATGGGGATCCCCGTTTAAGTCCTTGCGTTTTTTAAGCGTGGACGGGTATGAGTTTTTTAAATGGGAACAGGGATGGGGGGGACCAATACCCAGCCCGAACCCGGCCTGTTGCCATCCCTAGCCCTAGACGATAAGATGACTCCAATGTCGGGCCTAAAGTTAAGCTCAAGTTCAACATCGTAGCGGAGCTTGTACGTATTGAAACGGCCAGGGGTCAATGAGATCTTGGATACGATAAGTAAAATGTCCGAGGTCATGGTGTTCCCCGCTGCACCGGAGCCGTACGCTTCGCTGTTGCTGGATCTTTTAGACCCCAAAGGTCTGATATCTCACCCTTTATATAAGGATTCATGGCAGCAATTAGTGAAAAGGAAGTTCACCAAAGACTTGTCCAAGATAGGGAGGGACCTTGGGAATGTTGTGATTGTTGATGATAACCCTTTGTCGTACACTTTGCAACCTGAAAATAGGATCCCCACTGAGACATTTATAGATAATTTTGAAGGTAGGCAATTGTAGAAATTATTAATGTCGGTGGTGTTTATTCTTTAACATTAATAATGATATTTGTCCATTTTTTTTTATTTTTTTTCGAGTTATTAATTTAATTATTTTCATATATTATCATAATGAATAATCTTTTTGGTTAATGATTGTTTTGAAGCTAATGATTGAAAATTTATTTTTTCAAAGATAATGTTAAGATAAAATATGTCATTGGTCACTAAATTTTGATCGTATTATATTTTTTTTACAGTTTTTCAATTATAATATTAAAATCTTTAAATTTATTTTTTTAGTATTATAAATTAATCGAAATTTGATTCAATATCAAAATAACTTAAAAATCATTTTTAAAAGGGTAATAATTAGTATTATTATATGGATGGTTTATTTTTTATATCACTAAAAAAATCTATGGTATGCTTTTATATTGTACACTTTTTCCTTTTCACAAAAGTTAATATAGTTTATTAATTATCAATTGGTATCGTATGATGAAATGATAAGCCTCTTAAATAATATCAGGAGTTTGAATTAAAACATTATAAATGAAGAAAATTAAGTTGACGAAGAAGATAAAATAAAAAAAGAGAGAAAAACAATATGGATGACATGTGGATACCATGTCCGTAAGAGGCAGTCCACTTCAGCACATATGGTTACCATATCATCCTTTAGTTTATGATTTAACCATCGAATGAACACAATAAGACGTCAAAGAATGTCTTAAAAAACGTCAAAGAATGATGATTCCACACAGACATGAAATCGTACTTTCACATTTGGGGAAGAAGATAAAATCAAAAGAGAGAGAGGAATGATGTGGATGACACGTGACTACCATGTCAGTAAGAGACAGTATACTTTAACACATATGGTTATCATGTCACTCTTTCATTTATGATTTAAACCCTAGTGATCACAATAAAATAAAATAAAATAATTAATGATCAAATTAAAAAAAATTAAATTTTAATGAGAAAAATTAGAATGAGATCAAAATTGAGTATAAAATTTATCAACACTTGTTAATAAAACTCCATAAATAAAAATATCAATAAAGCGTAACGGTCCCCTTACAGTCCACAGAAGTTTCGAACCAAACTTCCCACTCCGAACCTCTTAAACTTCATGACCGTTACACCGAACCAATAATTTGAAAGCATAACGGCGCCTTCACTGAATCCGTTATGATCCGAACCAAAGAAAACCTCCAATTATGCTTCCATTTTTAAAATCTTACCAACTTCTCCTATTAAACGGCTAAATGATAATTCTCCATCGTCCTTTCATAATTCACAGCCCCGAAATGGTTTCCAAGATCATCAAGAAGCGATCTCCGCCGCGTTCCATCAAGCGCCACCACCAGAGAAAGACATCTCCAACCAAGAAGAATGCTTCTTTATCCGTCATCGCCTCCTTCAACAAGTCCATCAAGACTTGCCGCCGTCGGATCGTCAGGCTTTTCTCTAAGTTAGTCAACATAGCGACAACCCCTTCCACCGCCCGCAAGCGCTTCCGCCGGGGCTACAAGACTCTTCACCAGGAAGAAGAGTTGCCTGAATTCGAAAGCAATTTCATTGTTCCCAAGGCTCTCGTATTCGACCAGTGCTTGCTTCCGCCATTGGTTTCCACGACGAAAAAGACCATCTTTCTTGATCTGGACGAGACCTTAGTGCATTCCAGCCCCGACCCAGCTCCAAAAACGTATGATTTCGCAGTAACGCCAAGCATCGACGGCCAAATCATGAACTTTTACGTGTTGAAAAGGCCCGGGGTCGATTTTTTCTTGGAAGAAATCAGCAAGAAACGCGAGGTGGTGGTTTTCACGGCGGGACTGAAGCAGTACGCTTCCCAGGTTCTCGATAAGCTCGATCCAAAAGGCATCTTCATATCGCACCGGCTTTATCGGGATTCGTGCAAGGAAGTGAGCGGGAAATTCGTCAAAGACTTGTCCGGAATGGGGAGAGATTTGAGTAGAATTGTCATCGTCGACGATAACCCAAATGCTTACTCTCTGCAACCGGAGAACGCTGTCCCTATACGGCCATTTGTAGCGGATAGTGAAGATAGGGAGCTGGAGAAGTTGCTTCAGTTCTTTGAGTGGTCTGAACAGTTTGAAGATATGAGAGCAGCGGTCAAGCAGTGTTTTAATGGTGGTGGCACCGTCGGCGGTGGCTCTGCTGATGACCATGGCTTTGTGCAGTTGAAATTATGACGCTTTGCTCTGTTTTTTCAAGGATTGTTCGATTTCTTTCTTCTTTTTGGATTTTCGTTTTTGAACAATAGATTTTGTTCAATGTTTGCGGTGTCTTTTAATCAAATTTCCACATCTTCTTCTTCTTTACTATGTTCTTCAAGTTTTTGTTTTCAGATAATTTAATGTACGAAGGATCCATAACAACTAGTTTCAAACTTTTCGAAGCGCAGATCATTGAAGTGCTTCAAGTTCAAATGAAGTTTGAAAAAGATTTGTAGGTAGGACCATTTACACCGATATATATATATATATATTATATATATATATATATATATATAGATAGAGAGAGAGAGAGAGAGAGAGAGAGAGAGAGAGAGAGAGAGAGAGAGAGAGAGAGAGAGAGAGAGAGAGAGAGAGAGAGAGAGAGAGAGAGAGAGAGAGATAAAAAAAACAAAGAAAAAAATTACAATTATAATTAGCTGACTTTATTCCCATATGTAATGGGGTAAGGGGAAGGTAGGGTAGTAGGTTGTTCCCAACGTCAGGTTGAGAGCAGCTTCCGTGAAAGACCTCCGTGGACTCAATCCCACGACCACAAGGTTAAGAGCTTGTGCTCTACCAACTGAGCTAGACAGTAAAACTTTAAATTTCAATATTATAAATAAAATTATATATTTAATATTATGTTAATAAAATTGAAATAATTAGGGTAAACATTCAAATTTTGATATTATAAATATAAAAATAATTGAATTAAAATATTTTTTTATTAATGTATATCTTATTAAATCTAGATTAATCAATCAATAAATTAAATATTTTAATAGTAAATTAATAAAATTTAAAATTTTCAAGGCAATTTAAATCCTTCAACCTTATTTCTTCAATTTTATCCCTAATATTTTTTAATGATTTGGGGGTATTATTGGAATACTCAAAAGTTTGGAAATCAATTTGGAATGAGAGTTATGATATGGGATGAAATTGAAGTGTTCAAAAGTTTATGCACCAATTTAAAATAAGAGCCATAGTTTAGAGATTAATTTGAAATATTTAAAAGTTTAGGATAAATTTAAAATGCAAATCATATTATAAAGATGAAATTAGAATATTTAAAAGGTTTAGAGACTAATTTAAATGAATGACATATTTTAGAGATGTGTGGTGCAATTAACTCTTTCAACTTATATTTGTCTTTTATATATATATATATATATATAGTTTTTTCTAGGTTAACTACTAGTTGATCACTTATGTTTATGTTTTATTCACTTTTTCTCACTAATTTTTTTTAAAATATAATATAGGGTAACTTTCGTTTTTATTTAATTAAAATGTGGTCAGTACTAATTTTTGTTAGTAGTTGACAGGTTAGGTGACGTGACAGTTAAATATTTTAGTATAATCACACATTTGGTCATTATTATTGATATATTCTCTCAATTTAATCATATTTTAAATAAATTAAAATAAATTTAGATGTGGTCACCATTCGGTTGGGTTCCAATCAAGGCCGACTCCTTTGAGAAGCTTGAGAAGGTTTGAATTATTATTATTCCTCTTTATTTTAACGCTTTCCATAATAAAATTCTTTGTTTCTGAATATCAGAAATTGAAATCTTCAAATAGTTATTTTAAAAATGAATTATTCTTCAAACAAAACATTTTTTAAATTAAGAAAATCTTAAATTTCTTCTGTTGTTTTAAGCACGTTAATGATAATCTAATAGGGAAGTTTAATCCCATGCCTGTATAATTCAAAATATAAACTTCGACCTTGTTCTGCTTAAAGCGACTCTTATAATTAAAATAATAATATTTTAAACCATCTTATTGGTGGAAAATGAATATATTAAATTAAAATAAAGTTAGTCCTCCAACCGAATGGTGACATGTGGCGTCATTCGATTGGAGGATTAAATTTATTTTAATTTATTAAAAGTACGACTAAATTGAGAGAATATATAAATAACAATGACCAAATATGTGGTTATACCAAAATACCACATCACCTAATATGTTAACTGTTTGGTGCAGTTAACCCATGATGACTACATCTTAATTAAATAAAAACGAAAGTGATGATATATTAATTAAATAAAAATAAAAGTGACCATATATTATATTTTTTGAGATCAATGAAAAAAATAGATAAAATACAAACATAAGTGATCAACCATGTAATTAACTTTTTTTTTCTAATCAATTATATTAAGTGAGTGTAAATCAAGTATAAGGGGAACCAATCATGTCCCGCTGCAATAACTCTTACATATATGTAGAAATAACAATGAGGCGTTATTACGTTAAAAACCCTAAATTATTATTTTTTAGAAAAATAACCCTAAATTATTATTTTTTTGAAAAAATAACCCTAAACAGTATTTTCTAGAAAAATAACTCCAATTAGTCTTTATTTTTTTTAGAAAAATGACTATCAAATCTCGCATTTTCTAAAAAGCGATTATTATCTCGCGTTTTACGAAATACGGGTTCTATGTATATACAATATCCTTTATCCATAAATTAATGAAGTTATATAAAAAGTTAATGGATTTAACCTTTTTCAAAAAGTATTTTGTAAAATACGATGTAGTCATACATGGACAATTTGGATTTTATTTTTCTAAATAATATTATTTGATGTCTGGAATTTTAACTTTATTACGAGTCTATTTTCCACGTAATTTTATAAGTTTATGAAGGTAAAAAATATATAAGAGAAAATATATTTTTATCTCAAGTCAAGTCGAATCAAATTTATTTTTATTTTTATAAAAATTTAATCTCATAAAAATTTATCGAATCAAATTAAAATTTATCATATCTAAATCTCATACTCATCATTACCTATAATGTCAAACAACCAAGTCCAATAAACAAAACACTTAACATAAAATAAGAAAAATAAGGGAAAGCCCTTATTTTTCTAATATTATTAGAGATTTTCTCATCAAACTCAAAAAATATTAAGATATATATCATATAACATCGTTCAAGCGATTTCAGTTATTAAAATGATGACTTTTATTCTTAGAGGTCTTAGGATCGAGAACAATACTTGTAGAGTGTTTGAACGTTCATTGTTAAATGACTGAAAATCTTTCGAATGTCTATGGGAGATTTGACATTGATTAAAATTTCAATTTTTAATAGTCATGACTAAATTAAAAAGATATTTATTAAAATGAAAGAATCCTAATAGCTTGATGACTAACTGAGAAATTTACCCTAAACTTATTACAAATTAGTATCATATTAGAAAGTCTTCCATCTTTCTCTACTCTACGGCTCTACGCGGTTCAAAGAAATCTCTACGTATTCCCGGAAAAATAAAAAAAGGGAAAAGAAAATCTCCCCAGATTTCTAAAACGATTCGCTTTTGCTTTATTTGTTTGTTGGTGGTTTCGAATTCTGGGTCTCATCACCTTCTCTGCAATATCGCCTTTTTTTTCTTCCATGTATGGTCTCTCTCAGGTAACATCTCAACTAACGCTCGTGACTCATTCATCAAATTCTAATTGTTAATTTGTTTTCTTGTTTTCTTGTTGCTTTTGCTTCAAGCTTGTTTCTTTTGTGATTTCTTTTTTCATTTCATCTTTTGTAAGAAAATTAGAAAGAAAAAAGTTTTGATTGTGATTACAGTAAGACTGTTTAGCGACCTTTCAAATGGTCGATTTTTTCCAACCAATAATAGAATCGCAGAGGGTTTCTTTTCTTATCAATTTTTAGTTTAGTTTTCGTTTTAATCGTGGATTTTGTTGAATACAGGAGCTTTGCGTTGCTAATTCTGGATATTGGTGATGTTTGTTTTCTTTTTTCAATTTGAAGCTGAAATGGAATGATATACAGTTTATTGTTGAGAACAAAGTGTTTTGATTGATCGAAATTTGGAGAATTTAGGGGTTTGAATTGGGTTTTTTTGTTGTTGTTGGGATTTTTAGCAGTCTACATTGAAACAGCTGACATCTTTGACTGGGTTTTCTTTTATTGACTGGGAAATTGAGAATCTATTTTAGTTTAGTTTTCGTTTTAATCGTGGATTTTGTTGAATACAGGAGCTTTGCGTTGCTAATTCTGGATATTGGTGATGTTTGTTTTCTTTTTTCAATTTGAAGCTGAAATGGAATGATATACAGTTTATTGTTGGAGAACAAAGTGTTTTGATTGATCGAAATTTGGAGAATTTAGGGGTTTGAATTGGGTTTTTTTGTTGTTGTTGGGATTTTTAGCAGTCTACATTGAAACAGCTGACATCTTTGACTGGGTTTTCTTTTATTGACTGGGAAATTGAGAATCTTGAACTAGAGCCTCTTGGCAAGTAATAGATCCTGGTTAATAAGGGGATAACAATCTTCGATTGAAAACGATATAAGGGTAGTCAAAGGTTTGTTCTTTGGAGTGATATTGATTGTTGGAGTGAGGATGTTCGTCTCTAAGGTCTGAGAGTTCAATTTATAGGGCAACTTTTGGAGTTGGTTGACATTTGATTGCTGGGAACCAACTTTAGGGTGTTTCAGATTACATATACTGGGATTTTGGTATGGATGAGAATCAGGGCAGCTCAAGTTCGCTCCCTCCTTTCATTGCAAAGACATATGAGATGGTGGATGATCCTTCTACGGATTCTATTGTGTCTTGGAGTGCAAATGATAAGAGTTTCATTGTATGGAATCCGCTCGAGTTTGCAAGGGAATTACTTCCCAGATTCTTCAAGCACAATAACTTTTCTAGCTTTATCAGACAGCTTAATACATATGTGAGCCGCTTTTTTTTTGTTCTTCCCCATACTTTCCACTCGATTACACTTTTGTTTCTTACAGCTTGAATCAAGTTTTTTTCCCATATTTTGGCAGGGTTTCAGGAAAACTGATCCCGAGCAGTGGGAGTTTGCAAATGAGGATTTCATAAGAGGTCAGCCCCATCTTCTGAAAAAACATATACAGACGTAAACCGGTTCATAGCCATTCCATGCAGAATCATGTAGGCCAAGGTGCTTCGTTAACAGAAGCAGAGAGACAGAATCTAAGGGATGGGATTGAGAGACTTAAGAATGAAAAAGAGTCGCTTGCTTTGGAGTTGCAGAGGCATGAACAGGCGCGGCAAGGATTTCAGATGCAACTGCAGCTTCTGAGGGAGCGTTTACAAAGTATGGAACAGCGGCAGCGAATAATGATGTCTTCTGTGGCTCGAGTCTTGCAGGAAGCAGGACTTGCCATAAACCTGACACCGCAATTGGAGACTAATGACAAAAAGAGAAGGTTGTCTAGAATTGCTTACTTATATGATGAAGCCGGGATTGAAGAGAGTCAGACAAGCAATTCCCTAATTGCTAGAGAAAATGCAAATAGCAGATCCTTGTCCAACATGGAGCCATTTGAACAATTAGAGTCATCAATGGTGTTTTTGGGAGAACGTGGTACATGATTTTGGTCAAAATAACATTCGACGCAATTCAAACCTTGTATTGGATGAATCAACAAGTTGTGAAGAAACTCCATCAATATCTTGCATGCAGCTTAGTATTGATGCTCGACCTAAATCCCCCAGGATCGACATGAACTTTGAGCCTGCCCCCGTTGTTACTTCTGAGCCTATTACAGCAAAGGAACAAGTTGCAGGAACTACTGAGTCTGCAAAAGCTGCGATTAACGATGTATTCTGGGAACAATTTTTGACCGAAAATCCAGGTTCGACTGATACTCAGGAAGTTCAGTCGGAAAGAAAAGATTTCGATGCTCAAAAGAATGAAAGCAACCCAGGTGATCACAGCAGATTTTGGTGGAATATGAAGAATGTAAATAACCTTGCAGAACAGATGGGGCATCTGACTCCTGCAGAGAGAACTTGATATTGGTTGATTATTTTCAGATGTATTAAATCTAGGTATGATTGGTTTCATGTGGTAGTAAGTAGTTAACTTATGTTTGAGTTCATCATCTCAAGCATGTCATTAACCTTCTCATGTTCATTTGTTTTTAGGTGCTATTATAGTGATTTACATGACTTTTCCCTGTCTGCTTCAATATAGTTCAGATTCACATATTTTTAGAGAATCAATACCGATTTTAGTGTATTTGCAAAGTTGTTTTGCTACTATATTTCATGGCATATGTGATGAGTATCCTGTTGCCTGCATCATGGTAGGGTGAGCATTTGATAGGATAGAATCAAAATTTTTAAATTATTCGAGTTAATGAATCTTATTTTATAATTTAAATTTTGTTTGAAATCCGAACGTTTTTCTATAATCATAATATATATACATATATCGTGCAAAGTTAAGAGTATTGATTTAAACTTGAAAATCAATCCATTAATTATTAAAATTTTTAAGTTATTCCAATTATATTTTATAACTTTACTTAAATTTAAATATTTTTTGAGATGTATTGAATTTATAAAATTACGATTTAAGTTGAATTAAATTAAGTATTTTTTAGTTGAATTGAATTAAAAGAAAAAATAATCTTTTGAATCGGATTTTGTTCACCTGTCCAAACAATATCAGTGCAATGATGCTTGATGACATGTACATAATTGCCACTAAATCTAACATACAAGTGATTACTTTGATCTCCAGAAAGTTCCCCATTGTCTACATCACTTGTAAAATGGAACAAGAAAATTGTTGGTTCTAAACAAAATCAAGTCTTTTCCAGTATTATTGGATCATTGTGATCTAATTCAGTGGGATTATATATATATATATATAAGATCAAGCTAATTAAACAGTACACTTTCTGTAAACTTTTCTTCTTCTTCAATATCTGGAATTTAAATGAATGAATCTGTGAAATGTATTTGCCAACAAAAATGGGAACTAATGAGTTGTTACAATACCGAAATCGACATAGGGACTGACACATCGCCCGGTAAACTTGAATTGTTCGTATTTGAGTTGTCTGCAAATGCATATCCGACACCCAATCCTCCGAAATGTAAAGATGCATACTCGTACCTCTGGAACACTCTAGCAAGTGATGCAGCCTTTCTTCTTGCTCGCTTTGTACCGGTAAACAATAGCGCCTGAAGTAAACCAGCCAACGCTGGGGCTTTGAGCACTCTTTTAGTTGTGGTGGCCCCACCGGTGCGGCAAAACTCGAGCAATGCTGCAACAGCGTTCTCTTTTCCTCTTGGTGTTCCGCATCGCATCATTTCTATTAACCCTGCCACTGCAGTTTCTTCCTTCCCCACAGCTTCGGCTCCGATTGGCTGCCCGACAATGAAGGCCAATGCACCTGCTGCTTCCTCCGCCACCCCTTCATTTTGTAAAGCTCTGACGAGTGCTGTAATTGCTCCAGCCTCTATCATGCTCTCACAATTGTCTGTGAGAGTCGCCAGATTAAATAAAGCGGTCACTGCATCCTTCCTCCCTCTGGGTGTCCCCACTCTCAACAACTCTGCTAAGGCTTCGACTGCTCCTCCCTGATCCGCTATTTTCTTCTTATAGTTGTGAACTGCAGAGAGGCTGAACAATGTTGCAGCAGCGTTTTGCCTGGCCTCCGTTGTGAGCCCGAGCCTCAAGACTTCAACAATCGATCCTAGACAACCATCCTCATCCATAATTCGACTTTTGTTCTTCTCATAAATGGATAAGTTCAGCAATGCAGTAACAGAATTCACTTGAGCAATAGGGTTCGAGGACGACAACAACTTTTGTAAGTGCGTTATCGCCCCAGCCTCTGCAATAAAAGCGCGAATCTCCTTTCCTGTTTTAGCCAGCAAGCGAATTTCACGAGCAGCTACAGTCTGAGCTCCCTGAGATCCATTAGCTAGTTGCTGAATAAGAAGTGTTGCTGTTGCTCTATTGGCTTCAGTTGCTGCTTTGATTGGCAAAGCTGCAGCAAAAGATTCAGCAGATGCATCTGTGATTTCCGGAGGATCGTACGGAAGACCATGAGCAGTACACCACTGCGTGATCAAATTCCTCAAAGCCCGATTAGGAACAAGGCGATTATGGACGAGCATTTGCCCCGTTTTCGGACAAGTACAATGCCCTTCCACCATCCACCGACCTATTGAAATCCGATCATAAGTCTGCCCTGTCGAAATTATCACTGGGTCTCTCATCAAGCCCAACGATATTGGGCAACAAAAGTCTTTCGGAACAGTTGAAAACGTATCGGCAATCACCCGAGTAATCAAGCCTTTTCTCGGTTTCTTCCTATTCCCCAAAGAGAACTGCAACTCATCTTCCTCGAAACCGAATAACAAAAACCTACAATATCTGGTTATTGCAACAAATCCATTAAGCACAGAAACCGTAGGTTCGATATCTCCCCCGTGATTAACAATCTGCTCCTCCAAAAACTCAATTTCAGACCTGCAACTTTTGGCATCCTTAATCCCCAATCTCTCCACAAAGAACAGCCTCAATTCAACATGATTCGGTACCCTCCCATGCTCAAATTCATCAAGAAATGAAAAGAATCTAAGCCTTAAATTCTCATCACTTTTATCAACAATCAGTTTTGCTTTCCTAGCCTGTTTCTGCAATAGCTCAACTTGTTCCCTAACATCATCACTCAAATTAACTTCATTTATTGGAAAAACATCCAAAAGGGTCGAAATTTCTCGGTTCAAATCATGGAAATGACCTGAAATCGAGTGGTTTTGAAACAGAAGCCATAACTTACTGGATTGAGAGCAATAATCAAGCAGTATCTTGGACCTATACAGCAACAAATAGAGCTCCTTGAAGCACAATACGGCTGTCGAAGGCCGGTTCGACATGGACCCTGAACTCGAATCCCTCAAATACTCCAAAAGAAGAACAACAACTTCAACCTTTCGAATCAAGGATCGAGAATTTCTTCGTTGAAAGAAGAAAACATTGTTGGAAAAGCAAGAAACAAGCTCGGAGGAGAGATTTGCAAGGGTTCGAACGAGGGATACTCCGGTTAAGTCAACGGGGGCCAAGAAAGCCTCTAGAGACGGCGACCTTCGCCTCCTTAGAGAAGAGAAAATAGCAGCTGATGCCATTGTCGATAACCCCAAAGATGAATTTCTAAAACCAACTGTTGGCTATAGCTATAACACAGAATTAGATCTGCAACAAACAAAGGAAATGGAAAAATAAAGAGTACCCAAGAATCTCAGCGTTATGCTATAGTCCTTGGATCGTTGGCTTAATCTTCAAAGGATTCTTCGAATATAGATGACAGCAAAGATTGGTTTTTCACACACAAAAAGATAGCTTTTTTATACAAGTGAGATGGGAAGATAAAAATGGGGATTCTTTTCCAAGAGTGGAATCCGCGTTTAGCAAAAAGAAAAACTTTTGTTGATCTTGCTTTCCTAGCTAGTGTAAGAATTTCCATGGAGTTGCTGTGAAAAACAAATGGTGTGTGGCTTTGACCGATGATAATCAATATTTATATGTTCATACCAAACAGAAATGGATATCTAAATGCATCCAGCTTTGGTTAACTCTATCCTTTTCTGGTTTGTTTGTAAAACCAGATATTGTTAACCTGTAAAGGACGGCCCCTTTTTTGGGGATTTTCAAGAGTGATTATGTCACTTTGTCTGATTAGTATATGAGATAGAGATGGATATCAATTCAGATTTGACAGATTTTTATTTAATTTAATTTTAATAATATTAATTTTATTGAATTTAAATTTAGGATACAAGTTCTCTCATCCTGTCACTTCCTCACTATAATTTTTTTGATAGTGAGACACATCCAGGGATTAAAATTTAAAAAATTACTAAATTCAGGGATTAATATTTGTTTTACCCATTCCCACAAAATTATCAGTTGATCTGGAGCCAGTCCAACACTCAAAACATACGGAAAGCCAACCAAAACAAACAGATTAAAGAAGGGCAGAAAATGTCTTAAAATCTGACAAAAACTGTGTTTAGACATTGGAGATTTGCCACGTGTTACTCTATGGACACAACTGGCTCAATCCTCTCGTCGGTCGAATCACACGCCTCCACGTCACATCGTTCTCCACACGTCGGAAGGACACGTGTCTCCTTCATCTTCGTCAAATTATTGTTGTCGGCTACGATTAGGCCACGTGTTTTGAGCTTGGTCAACTCACTCTATTGAAAGTTAAAGAAATATTTGCACAAAAAATAAAAATATTCTAAATTTAAATATATCTTGACCATTAATTTGTTTATTTATACATTGTTATATAAAAAAAGAACAATATCAATATTTGGACCAAAATATCTCAATTAGAGCCCACAGATCGTCACATGATTTTGATAAATATATTTAATGTTAAAAAATTGTTAGTGTATAACGTTTTCCATTAAAACAATATGTCCAAATTATAATTGACATTAATTTTATATTATTTATAAAATAATATTATATTATTTAATTTGTTACGTGTGAACTATGAACTTGAATGATGGAAAAATCGTTCAACGCGAGCGACATTTAAGTTTTGTTTGGTTAGGTGAAAAAAATAATTTCGAGATTTTTTATATTGAATCAAATTACAAATTAAAATTCCACTTGTATTAAATTAAAATTACACGATTTTTGAAGGGACTAAATGGAAATTATACCATTTTTGGAACAAATAACCTTGATAACTGCTCCTCCTTGCTAGTGTAGTGGCAGAGTTTGAAGATTAAAGTGTGCTACTTTCTATAAAACCAGGATCACACTTTGGATGTCAAGAACACAACTTGGAGAGTCCGGGTTCAAATCTTACCATCTGCGGCTTCGGTCCGGGTTTATTCCGGTGAGTTGTCGAGATGTATTCCAGATCCGGTTCGGGATGAAAGTGGAAGAAAGCCTAATAGCATTAATGATTGCATAAACTAAAAGTATGGTTTTGCACTAATCTAGTTGCCTGCCTACATTTTCCTCATTGGAAAGAACTTGTAATTTATTCTAAGGAGAAAAGAATTTGACAGATTTGAACTTACCTTGTGAACTGGCAAGAAAATAGCTAATTACAACTGTAACTATGAATTCAATCAACTCATGCACCAAATCTTCAAAGGCATCCGGAATTTTCGTTTGTCTACCTCTACCTAGGAGATGTAGACGAATGACATTTTCCGCATGAGATGATCTTCAATAATGAATGCGATCTTTGTGTCCGAATTTTCAAGTGCGAGAGCTGTGGGACGTAAGCAGACTAACGATCACGCATTTTTCATTGGGATGATGCTAGATTAAGTAGGTTAAACAAATTACCTTCCGACGAGTTACTCTTGATGCTTTCCAGCAAAGCAAGCTTTTCTACCTAGGTTCCAATCTCCTGAAATGTACAGATACGAAGTTAATTCTTAGTTGAAGATGATAAAACAACGGATTTGTGCTTCACGGCAACTCCACCACAAAAAATAAAAAGCTGACATAATTGGAGAAATCATAATTGCACCAGATGTACACATACAGGTTCTCCTGTTTGAGTTTTTCAGCGATGGAAACTGCTTTGTGCTTTGACCACCCGTTCCGTTGTGTGCATCCTTCTGCCTGTTGAATTACATGTGCGAGGGACACCTTGCTCCTAACAATGCTCCGACTATGACTTAGTTCCCCGGGTTTCTGTCTTCTTGAGGTAGATGCCAACGTTGGTTTCCTATAAGCCGTAGCATCGGTCAGCGTTAAACTTCTTCTGTTGGATTCTAAGCTATCAGTGTGTTTGTTATCCTTGGCTTGTATTGGAGAAGCTGGTATTTCAACAATTTCACCCCCAGCATCAAGAGATTCGCCATGCAAGGTTGTGAGCCAACCCCGGCCATATGCATCCTATTTCCAGAATTGGACTCTGGATCCATGACCACCTGAGATGGACCACCCTCGGAAGCTGGTAAGCAAAGAAGCCCGTGAAAGACAGCTCCACCATCTTTCTTCACTTCACATCTAATTTCAATTGTCACAGACGAACCTAGAACAGACTCGAATGCTTGTAAAATATGCCCCATAAATTTCTCCGCCTTAGATTTTGTCATACGTGAACTGAACATCAACTGTACAGTTGGAGCTGAAGGAAAAGAACACTCGATTAAAAGGAGAAGAAATACACCACCCGTAGAGAGTTAGACTCTTAGTTCCGACGACAAAGGTTCAAATTCTGGTAACGATCAACTAACAAAAGAAAAAATATATAAACATATATACAAAGCATCAGTCAAGCAACCATCATTTCAAGTAAAATTATCATACCATTTCGTTCTTGTAAATAAAGGGGGGGAAAGAATGAATTTTTGAGTAATTATTATGTATATGTGGATGTGGAGCATGAAGCTACAATCTAGATGGGAAAGAACAATTGAAATAAACTTTTGGAACATCTTATTCTAGCTCGACCATAAACTTCAATAAACTTCATAAATCACTAAAATCTGTGTTACGGCTTCAGGTTTGCTAAAGTTTCTTCAACATAGTAATTTAGAAAAGTAACTGGCAACGATTCTCATCTAAAAGTATGTTGTAGCTGTATGATCAAGGCATGCAAAGATGAGCATGATGCACAGTAGGATATACCTGCACCAAAACTGACAGAGAGCAGCTTTCCTTCTTGATATAAGAACTCTTGCAGACAACTAAATTGAATCTTCTCGAGCACCTGCAACCAAATTTCTTCAAGTCCCTTACAGTTTTTGACCAAATTCTGCTTCCCGGGTACACAATGTCTCTTCTTATCATAGTGTACACCATTAGTTATACCCGTTTCGAAATCCCCTAAACTTCCAGCATGGAGATTTTACAACCAAGAATTTTTCAGCAAGCCTCGAGAGCCATTACGGAACTCATCTCTTCTATCCGTGTTGCTTTGAGGCAATGGGCTATGATGAGAACTAGTGCCGGCGGAAGACATAGGGAATATATACTGCTGATCAGGAGCAAGCTGAAGCAAAGCAGCAGTTAGCCATGTTAGTTTGTCACTTGACATCCTCAGTTGTTTTTCTTCCTCGGATAATCTTTTCAAAGCTTGGCGTAGTTTCTCCATATCTTCTTTGGACACTGGATAGCATACACCGAGTAAGATTCACAAATATGAAACTTCAATGGGAGCATATATACAACTACTACCAAAGTTCAAGAGGAAATGAATTATTTAGAATTAAAAGGCAGAAGATTAATTTTTCCTTTTAGACTCACATGGCCGTTGCCGAAAGAATTTCCTCCTATGCCTTTCTTTAATGAAATCATAACTGCCAGCAAGAATGTCAGTAATCACTGTAGCAAGGTGTGACATCAAAGCTAAAGGCACCACACCAGTTTCCATTATCACCCTCAAACTCTTTACAGTGTTTACGGTGTCCGCGGACAATGCAAGATCGAGAAGATCGACCAGCTTTTCATCAGAGATAAGCCCAACCTGTGAATCAGACCCAAAATATTACTATAGGTTATAGAAATACTAGTGCGTGCATGGTGTTATGAGTTATTATACTATAGGTTATAAAACTCACCAGTTCCTGAATCAGAAGAACCGAGATTTTTTGCCCGAGCAAACTGAGCTGCTCGAGTGTCGTCTCTGTATCCCTCAGTGATCCATCAGATCGAGAGACAATCAGTTTAAGCGCGCCTTTATCAATTTCGATATCTTCTCTGGATGCAATCCACTGCAAAGTATTAATGATATCTGCATTCTTCCGTTTGGGGAAGAAAAATTTCGAGCACCTGGACACGATTATATGAGGCAAAATATCAAGACATGAACTGACAAGAATAAAAACCACACGCTTGGGCACTCGATCAATGACCTTTGATATGGCACTCCAACAATCAGGGGACAAAGTATCACAATCATCAAATATAAAACCCCTGTACTGAGAAGGTAGCTGAGAGACGATCATATTATCCAGTAGGTCCATGATACTGTCGAAGTCGAAATTACTTACAGGACCAACTTCCCAAATATTTCGACTCTTACCTATATCATGTGAAATACAAGAATCGCAAAAGCCACACGGTTTAGGTTCTTCAAGTGATTGACAGTTCATAGCTCTGGCAAATATCCGAGCACATGAAGTTTTCCCCGTTCCATGAGGTCCATAAAAGACATAAAGGAACCCAATCTTCCTTTTCATAACAGCATTAGAAAGGGCTTGTGATACCAAGTTTTGTCCAACAAGGTCTTTAAAAGTTCTAGGCATGTATTTTTGTGTTATGTTTTGGTGCTTGTCACGGAGGTTCCTGCCTGGTCTGCATTGTTCACCGAATCTAGCTTCGGAAGCAAGGTCGGAATCAACATTGTGCTTCAATAAATTATCAGAAAATATACATAGCTCCCCTGAATAGTCATTTACCCAACGAGGATTCTCAGCGCTGTCCAGAGATCCAGATGCCTCGATTAGAAGAGGCAGCGCCTCCGCCTCAGATTTTGCAGATGAGCTTGATGGATCAGATTCCACAGGCATATCAAGAGCATTTCTTCCATGGGAACCTGCTCGACCTTTCCTTAATCTAGAATCCGATAGACCACAAGAAAAGCTCCTCCCTGCTATGTCAAGGAAAGTTTTACCCCGGTTGTGAATTCTTGACCAATTAAAAGGGATCCCACACCCATTTCTAGGAGCCCTAGTGACATTTCGTTCATATTCATCTTCTTCATCTTCCGTACCACACTATTGATGCAAAAAATCATGAGCAAATGAATTAGAAGCCACTGACAACTCATTTTGACCTCCAACCTCTCTAGAGGAAGGAGCAGCCTGAGCTCTTCTCGTTCCTTGAAACTTGCGCCTTCTCCCCCTGTTTAGTCCACTGGAATGACCACGGATGGCGACTTCAGGTTCCACACGAGTTTTCCCTGGTCGAATATGCCTTCCAAAAAGGTTAGCATTTGAAGATGCTACATCATCATTGTCTAGGGGGAGGTCATTCAATTGCTCAGACAAAGTTCTGACCTGAATACCTTGTGCTTGCTCCCCCTTTAATTTTCTACTCTTTCTATTTTTCAGTCCGGAATTACCGGAGATTGCATCAGGAGGCAAACTACTACCATCTTGTTCCATTACAGGCTCCTTGGTTTCACCAATAAGATCAGCCCTATTACTTCTCCTACCAGATTCTTCTCTCCTAATTCTTCTACCATCTCTAGCTCCACTCTTATTACTACGATCACTAGTCGCAGGCACTCCTTTGTTGACCCCACTAGCTTCAACCATTGCAACTCTTGAAGCTGCAAAATCATCTAAAGGTGGCGAGCTTACCGACAGCCTCCTTCCATCTGTCTTCTCCTCGACGCCCAAAGATCTTCTCCCCTCCCGGGCAAGTATCCTTACGACCCTTCTTGTAAAGCAAATCAACAACAGACGGCGAATGCCAAGAGGGAGGACTAGCAGAAGGGTCCCTGAGGGAGCGTGACCGTTGAAGGACAATAAGGTCCCTCATAAACGACCGGTCAGCCAACATAGGGCTGTTCTTATGCATATGGTTCTTCAAGTGGATACAATTAGTCAAGTGAATGTGGTTTCGAAGATGATCGCTAACCTTACCGTTCGCATCCTTGAGTACCCTATCTCCAACACCCCTGGTCATGATCAAAGCATTAATTTGTTCCACTGCAGAATCTCATTTAGCCTAAACATGCATACTAAAAACAGATCGCATTTTCATCACTCTCATTGATTATGGCTATTCCCATCGATTATTCCGCAAAACTGTCTTGAAAACCGAACTTGAAGCTCTGTCAGTCTTTTCCTCGAAAACAAAGCATTCATTTTCAAGGCACAGCAAACCCTCTAAGCTAGCCATCGTGTATTCAACGACATAGGCCTACAAGCATCAAACTGAGGTAAGCAACATAAATACCCAAGAAATCCAAGAATTCAAGCTTGAAAACCCAGAGGTTGAAGGCACAGAACAAACAACTTTTCAAACATGCAAAAATCAAATCATGGAATCAAACAAACAGAAAGGACAAAAGCAAACTCAATAGTTCAAATTTCATAGCTTTAGATTCCTCAAAGTTGTAGCCTTTTTTGAAAGAAATGGACACTAGAGAGGGAAGAAAGGAGAGAGCCGGAGGCTAAAAATCCATGGTTTTCAACGTCCAAAAAAAGTTAAAGGGAGGAAGAAGATGAAAGAAAGAAAGAAAGAAAGAGGTTATTTTCAACTGCATTAACCTGATAAATCCCAAAAAGCAAAAACAAACCGTTGCCTTCATTAAGAACCAATAGATCTCTCTTACTGTTTCGTCACCGCACTTCACATGTTGTTCCACAAAGCTGGCCCCTGGCTCTATCTTACAAGAGACAGAAACTGAGTCTCATTTATTTTTGTTTTCCCTCGAGACAGAGAGAGTACTTTAATTGAAACCAAAAGGAGGGGTGATCTTTTTCAAGTGTTTGTGTAAAAATTATTTCTTTAGCTTAGATTAGATCTGTTAACGATAGTAACAGAGAGACATCTCTTGAAACAGGACATGGTACCAATGAGGCGGTTTTGTCCGTTTGTTTTCAGCTTGTAAACTCATTTTTTGTGCAGATTTAAGGGTTAATTTCATCATAAGTCCTCAAACACTCAGGTTTTAGATTTGATCCTAGATTTTAAATGTGTTAATTGAGTCCCTAAAGTATCATTATCTCATCAACTGGGTCCTTGGTTCGGAGGCTAAAGCTATACATTTTATTTTAAAATAAATTAAATTATTAAATTTTAGGAGAGCTAAAATTGAAATTATAATTAATGTTACGTTTTTTTTAATAATCTAATGCGATTTCAAGTTAATATATGTTCAGAACTTTCTTAACCAATTGACAACGTACACATCTTGCAAATAGAGTTGTTTGAACTCAAGACCTTCAGGGATAAATAATAATATTCATTTTTACTACTAAAGTCACTTGATAAGTTCACGTTTTTATTTTTATTTCGATACTTTGCTGTCGAATTTAATCATTTGCTAAATGAAAATAGTGATGTGACATGATATGAGTTTTAATCTCCAATAATTACACATACTGTCAAATTAATTTTTATTCAAAATAATTTAATAAATTATTAAAATTAACGATGTAATATCAAAATAAAAACAAAACATAAATATTAAATATAATTTTTAAAATATAAATAATCAAAATATAAATGTCAAGAAAGAAATGCCGACGTTATCGTCATTGAAATATTGGGTGGATTTTGCAGAGCAGTATTAATTCAGAGACGGACAGAGTACATTGTTCTTTGGCTTGAAGCGAACACAATTCCTGCGTAACAGCGACGTCCCATTCCAAAATGTTGGGGACTCTTTGTTTTTGCGTAAGCACATCATATATTTTGTCATTCTCAGATACCTCTGTACAAATTTAAATAAATCTAAATACATAAAAAATTATAAAGATAATAAAACTTGGAAGAATGGAATGTTCATTTTTTGGGAACTTGAACCAGAGGAAGCTTGTTATCAATGGTGGGTTTCCAGATACGGCTTTTTTTCCCAGTTTATGCAGAGATGGGAAGAAGATTTTGGCTATTGCGTTGCTTGGGGTTTACGATGAGTGAACAAGTTTCAGTCTTTCAGGTGAAGAAGGATTGTAGATTCTCCGACGTTTATATGGAATATGTCAGTGAAGAATCACTCTATTGCGACGAAATTATCAGCAACGAAAACGTTGATTTTAGAGTTTGTTTCACGGTGGTTCCGGGGTTCAAGATCGGTAAAACTGTGATCCAAAGCCAAGTTTACTTATCTCCGGTGATTACTTCGGTGAGTTTAAAAGCATAGTAACTTCGCCATTAAATGGAACATGTAGAGATAATGTCATCCACGCTCGGACTGGTACAAGCGCCGCCCGTAGGGAGGTAAGTGCTGTTGTCAAGTGGGTTTAACTTCAGTTTCCACTCGAGAACTGCAATTATCTTCCATGATACGGAGACAGACAAAGCGGAGCATGAAGTGGCACTTGAACTTTGGTCTGTGAGCAGCGGCAACAGCATGTGGACTCATGGCCCGAGGAGATAGTGGAGCAGCAGCTAGGTTTTGGCCTTAAGGAGGAAAGGACAGTGGTCTTTTTTTCTTGGTATTTTTAGATTAGGTTTATAATATATTTATATAGGAGGAAAAAGAATATAGTAGTAGTAGTTGTGGAATACTGTTTTTGTAAATGTTAACTTGTCGAAAAGAAATCAAAGACAATATTTGCAAGTTGCATTGGGATAAATAATTTTCAACTCAAGTTTGCCTTTTCCATGATGCATGCATACGTGCATAATTCATACAGACATGTACATGCATGTATATATACATTTATGCATGCATGTGTGAATATAATTCACATACATCCACTTTTGAAGTTAAAGACTTGAGAACTAGATGGTAGAAAAACCAGTGTAAAAAGTTTACATATTCAATGAAGCAGATGGATCCAATAGAAAAGAAAGGCACTCAAATATATAAATTTGACATTTGGATATGTTCATTCAACAGGATGACCTTTTCAACCAGCTGAGGGAAACCTGCTATACCAGAAAGAACAATTTATATATTTTTTTGGGTGAAATCAATGATATACTATACTAATCAGGCTGTACTGCAATTCAATACACACATCCTTTATGTTACCCTCATGTTAGTCACTGCACAAAGGAGACTCCAAAGCACATGCATGTGATTGTAAGGAGTTTTTCCGTGGTTTTTTCTTTCAGTTTCCTGTCGTGTCTCTATGAATCAAACCATGGCAATGGCTTTCTTCCTCATCCATGTCTGGATGTCAGCAGGTCACACATCGATAGGTCAACCATGACATTCTTCCTGACTGGCCAAAACGGATAACAGGCCCCAAGTTCAATGTTAAAGTGGAGTATGTTTCAAATGGAGCTTTCTGATCCAGTATCTGATAAGGAATCGGGGTCTGAAGCTTCTGCCAAAGCTTTTAGCATGTTTATGACCTCCGCCGGGTCGTCCAAATAATACTTGGCTTTGCTAGGCTTCTGGCCAACCGTGCAGGCAAAAACAGATGTGTTTGAGGAGAGAACACCGCTGGAAATTGCACCACTGATAATCTCAAACATCTCCTCATCGGATCTGTCGTCGCCTATGCAGAGAACAAAATCAGCCTGCTTTCCCTTCTCGGTCATGGCTGTGAAGATCTTCTCGGCGACCACACCTTTACTGACTCCCTAAAGAAACAGTAA